CGGACGGCCAACATTAAACTTCGCTTCCTACGCAATCTTGGCTCTCCACTACCCCCGGTAGGTGTCATAAGTACACATTTTTAATAATCCACCTTCATTTACAAATTTATTTTTACCCGGATGCTTAGACAAGGCCTTTGCATACTGCATTACATCCACCAATTTTTGTCTCTCGTCTGCTTCTTAAATTTCGAAATGTCCTGCATTTCAAATGACAACTGAGGGACAATCCAGAAAGCTTAAGATCACCATTTTTGACTCTTTTACAGTAGAGTCTATTTGTCTTTACAACAGCAAAGCCTTGAGTGTATGCATGGATTACTTAGTGTCACATGATGCCACCTTCACCACACCTATCCACACTCAGGTGCTTCAATTTTGCAGTATTTTGACGCCTTACAATCAAAACTAATGGAAGTGGATCGAGAAAATCCGGCTTTTGTTTTGCTTCCTGAGTCGCCACCTCAGCTGACGGAGGACAAGGAGGTGGAGAGGACGCAATTTGAATTGGACCAATCAGAGAGCCCTGAGACGTCATTACGGCTACTCTCACTTGATCCACTCAAGCCATCGTCACATGAGGATGAGGACGACTCCCACGAAAACCTTCAAGTCACCTTTGGGTAAGTACAGCTTTTCTATAGACAAAACACTTATCAGAAATTGTAACTACTGAATGGCAAAGAGAATGGAATGTATCACCACTTCACAGAGATGTTGGAGCGTCCAATTGCAATTATTCATTTTAAACTATTGTTTTACAAATGGTGTTGAGCAATTTATGTCTGGCTCTAGTGCAGTGAACATGATTGAACACCCATGAGATCAAGACTGATCCACCTTTTGTTGTAAACCTTTTAATTCAACTATGCATGACAAATTGCGGCTCACCCGAATGCACACTTGGACACACAAGGCCTGGTAGAATTAGCAGTTGGCGACATAAGAGTGGACGTATGGTGTCACTCCACTACCGCTGTGTCACTCGAGTTTCTCCTGACGACGTCATGAGGAAACAGGATTGGAGA